TTTTAAAAATGTGTTAAGAACAATCCTATGCTAAATAATTATATATTATATTTGTGTCACACTGGTAAATAAGAGATAAAACCATGGTTAAGCTATGTGTCCGAGGCTACCCTTCCAATTTTAAAACATGCCTTTTTTCTATCATTTTTTCTTTTATGTTTTGTATATTATTATGTTTTGTTTATTATTACACTCTAGGAACTACCATGGGACAGAATTCTCTTGGCGACTGTCTTATCCTTTAATCGAAAAAGATCTTGCAAAGAAAGTTAATTACGATGTTGTAACTTCCAATTTTGCTGCTAGAAAAGTTCGTGAAGTCTTGTTAAAAGTCAGAAAATATTTATACCAAATCCAGAAATGTTTTTTTCCGTGGTTTTGTATAATTGTTTGATGAACTTAAATACAGAATTTTTAAATTATTTTGTGAACTAGAACTAGAAAAATAAGAAAATTAGAAAAATTAGACTATTATTAAGAGCTTTCTTTTCTTATTTTTATTTTGGTGGTGGTTAGAGGGGGAGGGGGCATCCAGTAAATTTTTTTATAAAATACCCGGGCATCATAAAGTCTAAATGAAGCATAAGACATAAAACATTAAAAGTCTAACGTAGCCGTACACTAATCTAATTTTCTTCAACAAGTTATTTCACCATCAAAAAGCTTCCTGATGAACCTATTACTATGTCAAATTTTGTGTTCATCGCATTCAAGTTAATAAAAGCTTTCATATTTAATCGAAAAAACAGATTTTAAACTTGAAATAATTAATTTTTTTTACCTTTGATATGTTTTTAGACAAACGACTAGTTAGAAATTGAATATATGACTCAAAACTTATTTGAAAATGTTATTTTCTTTACTTAATGCTTTATCTTCGTACAGGATCAACATCATTTTATACCAAAAAATGATACCTCAACTATAAAGCAAAATTTTATACCTGAACTCGAATAATTTAAAAAAATTTTAACTTCATTTAATTTTAGACATACAAAAGAAATAAAATTTTAAAAAATTTCGTTTTTTTTTTTTTTTTAGTTGTGCTAAAAAAATTCAGTTAAACAGCCTTTTTACTAAAACGTAAAATTCGTTTTTGTACGATTCTTAATCAGCATAAAATTCTCTATCATAATCAGCAATAATAAAAAAAAAGGGTTGCAACAAAAACGTAATGCATTGTATAACACATCTTTTGTCATGTTTTTTATCATGAACAGCATTACTTCATTCTTGATGAGGCTTGAAAACAAAATTTTGTACTCCAGACTTATTTGGAATACTAGCACATAGCAAAGTAAAAGGAAAACAGTAAACTCTATCTTCTTTGTTAGAATAAGCTAACCAAAAATAGTGGCCTAGTCATTCATTTTTAAATGTTTTTTTTGTATTAATAGTCTATTAAATATCTATATAATAGTCTATTATAATAATAGTCTATTAAATAGATATTAGAAAAACAAATATAGAATTTGGACGAAATACTTTGTTTACCATATCTATCAAAATTCCATCGTCTTTGCCAGCGGTTAAAAGTTTACCATGGGTTAGATATGTTGAAACATCATATAAAGTATTTGAGTCTTATATATATTAAGGAATATTAACTGAGTTGAAATCTAATCACTCAAATATTTTAAAATCTACAGAAAGTTCAAAAGACAACTCTATAAAAGCATTGCCTTCTTTAAAGTTAATTTTAGATTGAATTTTGACATGTTTTGCAGAATTAACTTTTTCTGTAAAAGAATCATCAGAGAGTTGCTTTTTATTTGTTTCATTTTTCGGACTAATAAAGTGTTAAGGATAAGTAAAAATAAATTAAAAAAGTATACAAATTATTTTATTTATTTTATTTTCTAGCTGAAAATATATAACACCATTAATTTTAGTAATAGATTTTTACCTTAAGGTAGGCAGTCTCACGCGGCAGCCATGTTGGATAATCGGCTAAATTTGGTCGTCATCAAAAGTTGGATGCATTTTTCGCGTTTTTGTGGCTCGCACTTAGGCGCTGGAGAAATAAATTAAAATAAGTATTTAGATGACTGACTATATAGAAATTTTTTTTATTTAATTTGAGAACGAAAGCCAGACAACTTTTATTACCAGCTTTTAAAAAATTTTGACTGTTATTTTTACGGTTTACAGAGCAGAAATAAACAGGTAAGTTTTATAAGCACAATTCTTATATTTACAATAAAAGAATTTTTTCATATATAAAAAGAATTTTGTAACATTTATCCAATAACATAAAAAACATAATCTCATCAAGTTAGATTAAGTAGCAGTAATAAAATTTTATTACGCCAATATTCTACCTCGAGATGGCGCACATATGTTGGTCGATCTTTTGTTTTTGATAGTTTTTAACTATTTGAAATTATTTTCTAACGTGTCAGAATCTTGCGGTTAGAATCAACATTACAGTTTATTTTATTTACAGTTTATTTTATTTCTCACAGTTTATTTTATTTCAGTCAAACTATTAAAAAAAAAATGCTGCTAAAAAGAAATATGAACAAAATGGTGATTTATGTAAATAAAGATCAATATAATAAACGTATTTTATTATATAATTTGTTAAAGATTTTACGTAATTTTAAAACTGTAAATACAGACCCACTTTTTAAAACGTTTTTTTCTAAACGATATAGTAAAAAAAAAAAATTTAAAAAGTGGATTTTTATTCGCGGTTTAAAAAATAAGTAAAATATATAACATGTTATATTATAACAAATGTTTATTATGTTAATATTTAGACTATATTTATTTTATGTATTCCACAAAATTATAGAGTATATTTTTTGTGAAGACGTTCATTATAATGAACGTCTTCACAAAAAATAGTATACTGTAGGAACATCCCTGGACTCCTCCTCCAAATGGGGTTACCTGAATACCGACCAGAAGATTGGCGATTGTTTATAGATAGTTCGATGAGAAGTTTGAAGTATGTTTTATTGCACAATAGCAATAGTTATGCATCCATCCCAATACTTCACTCAACAAAACTGAAAGAGGAATATGAAAATATAAGAATGATGTTGCAGAAGCTTAGATACAATGAGCACCAGTGGTCTATATGTGTTGATTTAAAGATGGTAAACTTCTTACTAGGGCAGCAAAGTGGTTATACTAAGTACCCTTGCTTCATATGTTTGTGGTATAGCAGGGCTAAAGAAGACCACTGGAAAAAGGTGGTATGGCCTGCTAGGGAAAATATGACTGCAGGTGCATCAAATATCATTAACGAACCACTGGTAGACAGGGGAAAAATTATTTTCCCACCACTCCACATCAAACTAGGACTGATGAAGCAATTTGTAAGAGCCCTAGACAAAGATGGTCAATGTTTCAAATATATTTGCAGATTTTTTCCAGGCTTGAGTATAGAGAAAATCAAAGCTGGAATCTTTAGCGGCCCTCAAATTCGCCAAATCATCAAGGATGAGCAGTTCCTATATACAATGACAGATATTGAAGCATCTGCCTGGAAAAGTTTTGTCTTGGTTGTTCATAACTTTTTGGGCAACCATAAATCTCCCAACTATGAAGAAATCGTACAGAAAATGCTTTCAGACTTCAAAACATTGAAAACTAATATGAGCATAAAAGTTCACTTTCTACATAGTCACTTAGATCGGTTTCCCGATAATCTAGGAAGTTATAGTGAGGAACAAGGGGAGAGGTTCCATCAAGATATCAAGGTAATGGAAGAAAGATACCAAGGAAGATTGGATACACACATGATGGCTGACTATTGTTGGAGCCTTCAACGTGATTGTCCACATTCTCCACACAAAAGACAATCATACAGACACCGATTTTTAATGCATTAATTGTTATTTCATTGTACTGATTTGAATGTTTTGATTTATTAGCATTGTATGTACTTCCCCATAAACAATTTGATATATATATCTAGTGTTTTTTTTGTGAATTACGCTACAACCTAACATAAATTGTTGCTATTAATGTACTTTCGTGACCACCCTGTATCTCAAAAACTAGAGCCAATCTAGGAAAACGGAGGTCATATTCGGTATCAGGGCAACAAGTTACCTATAAAATGACCCCCAAATGTTTTGCCGCAAAATCTTTGTTGGCCAGTGTTATTAATTTTCATTACTCAAATTACTATAACTTTGCTTTTAATTGGGCTAGAAACATAAATTTGGTATCAATATGCAGCATTTGATAACCTCTTTCATCTAAACATGTTTTGAAGTCAAAATATTTAGTTTAAATTTTTTATGCAACTGCCTATACATAACCAATTGATTCGAGCAGATATTTTCATTGAGATAACCTAAGAATTTATATTATACATAATCAATATATTGATTCCAGGAGATGTTTTCGTTGATATAACCTAAGAATTTATATTATACATAATCAATATATTGATTATGTATAATATATTGAATATGTCTATATGCTATTTTCAACCTTCTATTTTTTAACGTAAACTTTCCAGGAGATATTTTCATTGAGATATATTTCAATAAAAATATCTCCTGGAAAGTTTACGTTAAAAAATAGAAGGTTGAAAATAGCATATAGACATTTGTAAAAAAAATGACTAACAATCGTAAAACGAGAAATGTGACGTATATGATCAATATTGCCTATTTATATAATTACCATTTCACAGTTATTAAGTACTTAACAAATAAAAAATAAAAACTATTGTTTTGGCATTAAAACTCTTTTTAAAGCATCATAGAATATGTCAAAACGATTTATAATATTCTTAAATTTTTTTTTGCGTGTGCAATATATGCGACACCTTGGCGTCAGTATTGTTAACCTAAATTCGTTTTTTTTGGTTTTTAAAATTAATAAAATAAAATTTATCGTATATTATATATCTGACTACTACATATCCGACTATTTTTTATTGACAGAGTCATTAAAAGTTAGACTTCTACATACTCCTTTCAAATGCACGTATATATCCCCATATCCAAAAAAAACACGAAGTAAAAACAAAAGTACAAATTTAGTTTACATTTATTTGAAGATTAACTGTTTCTTCACTGTCAGCCAACATATAAAAAGATGTTATATATTGCAATGAATTAGGCGCTATTTTTAGGTCTATCGGAAAAACTTCAGCGGCTTGCCAACTAAATAATATCGTACTAGTTGCGCAAGAAACTTCGACTAACTCTTCGCAAGAGTTGAGCAATTCAAAGCTTAAGACTTTTTTATGTTCCCGCCTTAATAATAATAAACAGGGTTTTTTTTTTACATAATCAACTTGGCTTGTTTTGCCAAATTGCTTATACTCTTTGATATAATCTCTAGTAATTTTTTGGATGTTTTTATTCGAACATAAACACATTTGTATAGGAATGCTAGAATCTCGACACTTTTCAAATGTATTATAAACAGAAATCCGATCCCAACGTTTAACAATTAACATATTCATTGAATCATTTCTAAAATTGTTATAATAAACATTGAAATAAAATCTTTCTTTTGTTTTATTTTGAAACTTTATAACTACATCAAATGTGTAAACAAAACCGAACTGGATTTCTTTTCGAATAACATTACGAATAAGGCTACCAGTTAGGTGAATACACCTATTCGCAGCTAATTTTTTTCTTTCGGTTAGTTTATTGTTCAGTTTACCTATGGCAAACTCACCTAACCATATAACAAACTCTCTATTTTCTTTTTGATCAGGAAAATCAATTTTGTTTATGCATTTACAAAGTGCATATTCGCTGATATGAAACTGATCACAGCTTGATCTTTGTAACATTTTATTCATAAGTAGATCTTCCTTGCTTTCATCTGCAAGGTTTACAAGTCGTAAAATTGTGTTTCGTAAATCTATAACGTTGCACAATGAGTTTTGGTTAGACTTTAAATTATTCATTTTTGCAGAACCAAGTTTTTGAGCCACTTCTTTTGGAACAATAATAAACATAAAAGGATCATATACTTCAAATCTACCAGCCATCTCATTTATTGAATATTTTGTTGTTTTACCCCCGTGATCTGAAAATATGACACTAAAGGTATGTTTCTCTTTAGTAAGTTTTTGGACAAGATTTGCAAGATCATTGTCAATTGCTTTTATGCGAATACCAGAGGATTCGTGAGCAAAATTGATATGTGTGTAAGCCAATAAAGGTCTAGAATTAGGTGTTGTGCTTGTAGCCATTATTCTCTCATGTAAATGTTCCATAAAGTAACTAGAAAGTGGCTTCCCGTTTAAGCATATAACTTTCTTAGTATTAAAAAGGTTTGTTTTTTTGTATTTGCGTAGGATTTCACACGACATATGAGTCAAACCAAAACTATCAACACCGTAATATTTACTTACATTTTTTATTTCACTCCAGATATTTTCGTGTTCCAATTTAGTTTTTGCTTTAAATTTTCGATTACCTGTAAAGATGTTTCCCCATTCATCAAACCAACACGTGTCTTCCTGAGCCAAGGTCTGGTAACCTGCATTTTTGAACTTACTAAAAAACTCTTCAAAGCTATATCGTCGATTTTTAGGAAAATTGGAAACCTTCTCACCAGAAAACAACGCTTGTATATTGACGTAGGTAAAATGAGCAAGACTTTGGAAGAGCTTGTAGTCAAAGACAAAACTATCTCTACTTAAATCGTTGTTTGTTTTATTAAGGACTGCAACAGTTTTTTTTAGAGTTCTGTAAAAGTGTTGTCTTGATAATGAGTCAATAACAATAATGTTTATGTTCCACAAATTGGGTACTTTTATTTCATGTCTATTTTGATAAGTAAGTATAAACGGTGGGATTTTTAGTACTTGATGTATTTTACGTTTTTTTTCATTGCAAGTAAGAAAAATAAACTCCATCCTGTGTCTTTCGAACATAACTTTGTTTTTAAATATATTTTTATGGAGTGACGTCAAGTTTAGATTTTCTATGTAGTTGATTCTACCAGTATCTAAATTTATTATTCCAACAGAAAATAAATTTTTTTGGCATAAAAAACTATTGCAAACAAGATTCAAATTAGTTGTTACATCAGATCGGGTAGAATTTTGAAAACTGCAAATAGTAGAAAAAGGTTTATGAGGACATTTACTATTTTCGTTAGAGAATGTATTTTTGTTATAATATTTAGTTGCAGAACTGCAAATGTCTATATATTCTGTATAAAGCAAACATTCTGATTTGCTTTCGTTAGCCTCATTTCCAATACTCGTTTTTGGACATTGTTCTGATAAACTTGACCACGCTGTATCGAAGTTATTGATCTTTTTAACTTTTGGTTCCAGTAAGTTAATATCGAAATATGATGCTAAATCGGCGATATATGCAGTATTATTTGTAGGTTTCTTGATGTTATGCATCTCTAATGCATTATTGTTTTTATTTAAAACCGGTGAACTCGTTTTTTGCCAGGTAACAACAGTGGTGGGTGTATTAAATAAATTGGTTTGTTTGATGAGGGTTCCAGTAGTCTCAAAAGTCTCTTTGTCAAATATTTTTGATTCTTTGA